CACCTGTATGTCACTTTTTCAGTACGTGCACTGTAAACATAGTGTTCGTGTTGGAAATATTTTTTAAAAAAGATATGGGTATTTAGCCGTTGCGGCAAGTGTAACTATTCAGTACTTAGCCAGCTACCTGTACATGTAGGCATCGCACTCTTTAATTAATGCGTATGCAGAGGTAAGCCTGTAAACCTTGTTCAATTTCTACAAAATTCCAAGTAGTCTCGGTGGTCTATGTGATAATGTGAACATCTTTAGATTACATGATATGCTCCCAACTGGGTTCAATCCCCAGTTGTTGTCTTTTGTTGTCCCAAAAATTAAGAAGTTCCTTCTTTCATCATTTTTATACTGACTCCAACATTTGATTACTGAGCATTACATATTCTTTTTCTGATTTGTGGCTCTGGAGGTACATGTGCATTTTTCAGGGAAAAAAGGTCCTAAATTGTAAAAAATGGTCTGATTCCCACTTTCCAAATACGAAGTCACAATGACTAAATGTATGTTGGCGTAGAACCAGACTTAAGATGTGTCATGGTAAGAATATTTAGGTGCAAATATATGTAAGCAGTTACTGCACATGTCCCCACAAAATACAGTTTAGCTGTTGGTGATGGCTAAGTATCCACTGCCTCTTAAAGAAGTGGTGTCAGTAAGATTTACAAGCCAAGCCGTTTGCAAATGCCTGTACAATAACTTACACGTACAGTACATGTACGTGTACGTAGATAACAATGCTGAGAAAAACTTTGTCTTCTTTTTGTGCATGTTTGAACTCTTCTTCAATGTATGAAACTATTGGAATTCTCTCAGAGTAGGTGAACTGCAAAGGGCACTTATTTAAACATTCAATTTCACAATTGACCAAGCTTTACAAGACAAGTCAGGGCACTGTTAAGGTGAAGGAAATCCAGGAAGACACTGTTCAGTTTGCACGTTGACCTGTTCTAATTTTGAACTCAAACTTTGTTCTATGAAAACATTTCTGAGAAAGGGCCTCTTACTGGCTTATTGTCACATACATGTACATGTACACACTTGCACAACAATAAATTGCCAAAGGAATGGATATCTTCAATATAAGTGAAGTACATGTACATATATAAAAAATCTAGCGGTTATTGGGCACAAATCAACACCACATGGAAGTTCAGTGCCTTGGATTCACAGATTTGCTCTTGATTTTGCAAATTCATATTAGCATAAAAGCCAAAAAAGGCCCCAAAATACAGATAAAAATAGCAAAACAAAAATTGGCAATGAGGTTAATCGAAACACAAAGGTGCAATCAAGCATTTCAGTAAAATATTTCTCATATTACATGGTCCCTTTAAAACTCAGCCATGAATTGATGTAGGGAAGGGTACTGTACTGAATGTGACCAGGGTACCATTCAGTATTTTGTAATCTTCTTCACCTCTAACATTTGCACAATGAAATATTTGACGGAAACCTCATTTTCAACCCGAGTGTCCCAAATGATGTGATGTGAACATTAAAACAAATATCCTTAGACTGTTTTTTAAGCAAAATACTGAAAAACAAATATCCCCAAAAGATGTACCGTAACGAAACTACTAAAACAACACGTCCACATATAAGACAGAATGAAAACACTTTCACACAGTGCACACAATTCATAGCGTGTACACACACACAGACTGGTTCCCGTCCCGGCCCTACACTCAGCAGGAGACTACGTGGGGAACGGGAACCAGTCTAGTGTGCGAATTCCGCCACTCACAACTTCATCTCCATGGTGTCAAGCAGCATGGCTACTCTGGATTGGAAATAAAGTAACAACTCGAGACAAGGTTGCATCATGCTGCATTGACTAGTCTTCATTCCAGCATCGATTTCATTGTTAATTGCAAAAAAATCTGATCATTACTGTGTTGTATTTATATCAGTGGTTGAAGTTTTGACTTGAGCGGAGGTAATTTTGCCTTTTGCAACCGTGTGCATGCGTGGTAGCTAGATGCGCATTTTGTTATGGTCTCAACTGGTCTCGAGGGGGAGACCTGAGGCTATGGCATCCAAGACCGAGACCAAGACCAAGACTGGCACTTTTGAGACCAAAACCAGCCCTCCCAGGACCGAGACTTTGACAGGGCGAGACCAAGACTGCAAAAAAGGTCTTGAGACCGTCTCGAGACTGAGACCAGGTCTCAAAACCTACAACACTGACATGTACCTTGAAAATGTCCTCCTGTTTTGAGTAACTCTGAAAAATCTATTTCATTAATTCTTTTATGGCACCGTTAAAGTACCCCACATGGGTACTCCACAAGGAACCGTAAACACACACCCTTTAACCCAAACTTCCTAGGGTGTATGTGAAATCATATTGAAATTGTAGGATTTGGGACTGTTAGGGATAGCTCTGGAGTTTCACCTAATTTGCATTAGAGATCTCTTCAATTAAGGAAAGGTGGTGTTTACACCAGTCTCAAACAATCCTAAAAAGAACTTATAGGTTACAGATTTGCTTTTAAACAAAACGTATTTAAAGTTGCAGTAAAAACATTCTGTTGCACAAAAACACTGTGCACACATTTCGAGTCTATCTCTCGGCATTTGAAAAGTATATATTATGTACAGTACAATGTACATTAACATTCTGTAAGTGTGTGACAGGAAACCCAGTGCATCTGTGGTTGATTTCAGTTTCAAATGAAATTGCAGCCCTCCTTTTGTTAGTAGAATGGAGGGGACATCACCTTGGACACCGCATCAATTAAAAATTCATCCAGAGTGATGTGCATGGATTATTAAATTTGTGGCTAGCATTTTATTTGTTACACTGTACATGTACATGTATGCGCATGAACATGTACAGTTCAGATATTTTGTAAACGTTGAAAACAAAAGTCACATTGGAAATGATTACTCCCTTCAAAGTATTTAGATTGGGTTTCAGGGGCCCTATAACAGATCGCTTCAAGGTCACATGTCTTTCCCCCTCTCCCCAAACAAATTACAGAGCGCAAAAAGAGAATTTTGTAAAGCATCTTGCGCAGATCTGCATGTACGTGTATGTGAAGAATTATGCATAGATATGAGTGCAGTTCAGAATTTTTTTTTAGCAAGCTTTGTTCGACTGTTTCCACTTTTGGCAACAAAACATCATCTGGCGATCTTGTTAGCAGGAAAAAAAACCTATAAATGTGTTAGACATGGTGAATATTACTGGTACACATACTTTGTGTTTCAGTTCATTAAAATTATAGCATTAATTGATAAGAACTGCCGTATGAAAGTATTGATAGTAAATTTCACACAGATGCACATTCAGACATTCTGTTAATTGCAACATCATACACTGTAGTGTAGTCTCCAGTGCCAAACATCTAAACTTTAGTGTCATATAACCTACATGTACATGTAGACTTGGGTGTATTGGTTCATTTGCAAGGGTGGTAGGGATGGAGGGGGGCAGAGGGATAGGAGCCAAGCCCGCCCCCAAAATCGTCTCTTGAAAAAGTAAGAGAAAGGGAATTTTTCGGTCTACTTGATTTCCTTCCCTTCTCAAAGCCTTATAAAAAGCCCCAAACTGTTCATACATTTATCGTAGCCTCACCCCTCAAAAAGTCACATGTACAAATTTCCAAACTTTTGGCCCCACAAACAAGTTCCCCCCTCCCCCCAAAAAAAATTACTTCTGGATTCACCCTATTACATTTGATAGCAGTAACCAGTGCTTTTCTGATTTTCTTTTTCACTATGTTAATTCTAGTACAGTTTTTATGAAACGGTTCTTTTTAACTTGTGCTTCAATTTTTTATCTGAAATCTAATTTCAGAAAGGCAGACCTTGCGTGTTCGTGATCGTGTGTGGCTCGAGATTTTTTGTCATGTACTGCAACATGAAATTGGATGTAATGACTTAAAACTTTGAGACCATGTTCAATAGGAGTTACATTAAGAACCCATCATTGCTAAACGTGAACTTTTTAATTCATGAACAATATAAATTATACATGTAAATCCATGTAACATGACATAATAACCCGACAAAATTGAATTTTGTTCCTTCAAAGCTGACTTTGTGCAGCTTGAATATAATCATCCCATAAAAACATGAGACCCACTGCAGGTCTTCTCATTGGACATGGAGCAAACCTGTACTGATGTGTCTGAAAACAGTTATGGCGCCCTCTTGTGTTGAGATGATGTCCTGTGCATGCACATAGCCTGGCTTTCATTGGGGGAAGGGGAGCGACAGTTTCACAATACAGCTTGAGATTACAAATTCTTCCTTTTTTACCACGTAACCCGATATCGTTGCCTATTTGCCCCGAGCTTTTCATACATTGTACATTTATTAAAAATAAAAGCAGAACAAGGTGGACCATTTTGTCACACATAACGGTACACGCTTTAGACTGATGAAATAAGATGCACACATACATGTGTACATGTACATACATGTACAGTGTTATGTACTGTGCAGCTATAACATGTGTGAGCATAGAGCATGTAGAAGTTCAAACTGACATATCTAGATGAAATGCTTCATTTGCATGTACATGTATGCACATGTGAACAGAAGATGCAAAGTAATGCGTATAAATGTACATACAGGATAAAAATTACACAGTTAATAGGCCTCATGCGTACATACATGTATAGTGTGCATGATAGAATTAAGTTCAGGTTTGAACTAAAATAAAAGCAATGTACATTGACGCTTTTGTTTTCTGTAATATAAACCATGCCCTTGAAACCACTTCATTTCTTGGCCTTTACCAAGGGACTGGACAGATGCTGTTTATTCTTCCCCCAGTTCATATGCTGTGAGAAATGGTGTTTAGACTAGACATTGCAGTTACCAGAGCCGTGATTCGTAGTGCCATAAATACCAGGGTCTCCTCCGTAAATGAGAAATGACGTGAAGCCTGAGGGAGATCTGGCCAGCAGTGAAAATTGCTTGGAGTCTAGCACTCCAGCAGCAGCTTGCCGTGCACAGAACTCTAGCTCCCTCATCAGTGCTACATTCATGCGTGCACTGCACGGTTACCGGTAAGTGCCGAGTCTGTGGCCAATGGGGACAAGAAACGGTCGGTTTGTGGGAACTAATTGTGACAGATCATTCCATTGCCGCATCGCTGAGCTGTCCCTCAAGTGTTTGCACTCAACACACACCTCTAGCACACCCCCCTCTTGGTTAGCAGATGGAGCAGTCCAATATAATGTCCAATGGTGGGTATCAGAAGATGCAGGTTATTATCGGAAAGTTGAAGAGAGCCGAACGACACGGTGTTGGCTGTGCAGCCGAGCGGGAACAAATCGTGAAAACGCGAGCCCGTCTCGGAGACTCACTGGACAAAGTTGCTTGGCTCATTTCAGTGGTTAGCATTTGCTGCTGTACACCAGTTGACCTTGTCTTTGATGTAACCAGGAGCTGGCAATACACAAACGCTTTTCTTGGTCCAATTATCCCTACTTGTTGAGAGGTGTGCCTTTCGCTGGTTCCAATTGATTCAGTCCACTGAGTGTGGTTCACACTATTAAAGAGTGAGAAGTAAAAGATTTGAAAACAAATCTTGTGGCTCCATGGATGAAAAGCTAAGTGAAACAGTGAAATGACCACTGAATAATAAGGACAGTAAAAAACATCATCAAATGCTATAGAAAATAACTGCAAAATAGGCCAAAAGAAAAAGTTTCATCTAACCCTGGGCCAGGTTGGCTCTGACTCAGCGGTTGAACGGCAGAGAGCAATTTTAACAGAACACAGATTATAGGGATTGATTGAGGCAGCAACCCGCAGAGAGTCCGGAATATTTACCTGGATCCATACAAACCGGTGCAGAGGCTAACAAAAACAGCAGGGAAAATTGAAGCCCCTGCACCCGAGGAAGTGTCCCTTGAGTCCATTACCTTCGTTGCCTCCATGGATAATCAGGACGGGAGCACTGGCACGACGCTGACGGTGTCGTCTAAGATGACGGAAAAGAAGACGCGCTTCTCGTTTCGCCGCAGGTCCATGAGAGACAACTCAGAGACAGCGGATGGTCCCAAGCCTCAGAATGTTTCCACATACATCAGGTAATGTACTGTACAGCTTTTTAACCTCAGTGGTGATTTGGTGTGCTTGACAGTTTTGCAAATGTGAAGGCATGCACAGTACATGGACCTTTGTTTGCCAGCCTTGTAAACTCAAAGAACTGCAGAATCCTCCGATTGTGTCATGGTTGGATTATATACGGGGCACCATCTGGCCAGAAAATGAGAAAAGAAATTACCCACCTGGAATTGTTTATAATGGTAAAGTTTTGGTGTAAATGGCGATTACTGTATTTTGTAATTTGGCAGAAGTACTGCAGAATGCGCCAAATCTTTTGTGTGAAAGGTTTCTTTATCGTCCACACACGTACCGTACCTCTGGATCTGAACATGATCTACATGTACGTAGTTTATTGTGAGGAACTAGTGCACCAACATACGTGTAATAGTGTGTGATATTAAACAAAAGAAAGAAATCCTTAATTTGATCATGAGAAAGAACCCTGCCACAGCACAGCTAATATTGATAAATGCTAGGATCTCGTCTTTCAGATGGGTTATCATCCAAACGCATCTTATTGGCCACTTTCTCTGCCTCTTTCAGCCCTGCGGAAAAATCCATAGGTGCCCTGCGGCAGTGGTGGTATTGATTGCTTTAAGTTGTCCCTCATCACCGGCCTTCATGGGGAGGATGCTTTATTAAAGGGACATACAGGGTGGGTTGGTGGTGTGGGATAACCTAGATATGGTTCGAGGTCAACAGTCAGTGGTGAGGTACATACTACATGAAAAAGTATTGGACAAAATACAAGCATATTATGAAAGTTCTGCTTATGGACTCCCTCTATCAGTACACCCTCGGCAGTAAAAGTGCATGAGTTATCTCTGTGTCTGTAGTGAGAGCCTTTGTGCTGTTCCATCTTGATCGAAGGAGCATGTGCATTCTCCTTATGTAATAAGAAATGTTACAGGTTTATGCTCATACCATCTGCCATGTGCACACTTTGTCATTCACACCTAATCTGTGGGTTCAGTGTGTCCTTTGGCTATCCAGAAATGGTTCTCACCAAGAATTCCGGATTAAAGGCTGTGATAAAGCTTATGGAATGTATTGTTAACAAACTTGTTACCGGTAGCTGTGAGATTTCATTCATAAATTTATACATGAACCTCAGATAGTTTTCAGATTCCCATACAGTAGGTGGATGGGCTAGCGTGTAGGTGGTTTTAATGTGATAAAACTATGATCTGGTTTCAGATACTTCCCTGATTTCCTGTAAAGTTTTGTTTCCATTATGTACAGCATATGGACTCTAATCCTCAAACATCACTATTAAACCTGATCATTATTGATGGCATGCGCCTCACAACCAATGAATCTGTTTCCCATATAAAGCCAAAATTTCAGCAGCACCGCTGCATTCTTTACCTCATTCCGCCGTATGCACTGTTCATACGGTAATCTCATGATCAGCAGCTCATCCTGTGTTCTTCCAGCATTTGCGACACCACATCCCACTACGCGCACACACATTATCAAACATCGACGAGCAAATCCATTAGGAAAAATATAAATATTTGACTTTTAAGGGACATTTACACAAAACAAGGTTAAAAATGAGATTTAAAGTGTGATTGAGCTGTTTCAAACAAGTATGTTGAAGACCGGCTTGGGGTCTGGCAGTGATAATGGTTTGATGCATTATCGTCCCCGTGCCTAGCCTTTAGTTAGTGGCACCAGGTCTCTGTGGATGCTCGGCTGGTAACACAAACTTGAAAAGACCAGCACGAGTGGCAAAGCCAGGAGTGCCTGTACTGTCTTGTGGAGCTGATCGGTATTTATTTATTCAGTTATGAGCACTGTAGTGAGCAGGGCGGTTGCCAAAATTCAAATGCTGCCTATTCACATGCTTTATTTCAACGCCCAACACAAATACACACAACTGTTCCATGATGATTCGCTGTCATCACTCCATGTGTGTACGGAAGTGTTGGCCCAAGGATCCAATGAAATATAACAATGATGTCTGGGCCAGTGCGAGCGGTGCCTTCCTCGTGAGTGCGTGTGATGTCAAAATTTTATTAGTCCAAATGGATTCAAGTAATTCTATGTTCTTATTGGTCAGTATCCACAACATACTAATTAATAACATACTGAATTACTAAGGACTCAGACACCAATATTTGACTTCAACAAAAGGACACAAAAGAATTTATTAATGAAAAAAGTTCTAGAAAAATGCAAAAACCCGAAAGGACTTCAGGATTAAAAGAACTTTGAAAGGACTAAAACCAAAACCAACACAGTGTGTAAAATGGACCTAATGAGTTTACTCCCAGACTCCAATCAGTGACTTCCAGCAGATAAGGGCTCTTAAAACCACACTCCAGCTAGGAGGAACAATAATGTACATGTGAAGGTGACTGGTCTCTGCTGATCTGCTACACTGAGTGTGGTCAGACCTATATTGGGAAGCTGGGACTTAAACAAATAAAAAGGGGGGCACACTACTAACAAAATCAAGAACTACAAACTAACGATATTTATATTTTTAAAATGCAATTTTACATTTGTGAAAACATGTATAAACTAATAGTCTCCTTTCTGGCTCTGCCACAGTAGCAGCTGGGTTGTGCATCGTGTGTCCAGGTAGCTACGTGAACCTTGAGTAAAGGTTACCCCAGGCCCCAATCTGGGTTTAAACATACATGTAGTAGCTTAAAACCACTTCCATCACACCACTATTCCCTTCATCTTTATGTACATGTAAATGCATACTTATCCTTTCACGTATTTGCACCTCCCACCCATATCAAACATGAAAAACAAACACTTTTTTGGTAGTGGATGGTTGCATGTAAGCCTTTGTCCAAAGGAAATCATTGTATACGTTGTTTTCACACCTGCCTTTGCAATCTAAGGAAAACTCTCATCTCTTGATGTAAAAGCACACTTGTACCCACACCTCCCCCTGCCCAATCTTATTCCAACAACCCACTCCATTTCCACCATACCTGTCACATTGTAATGGATAGCCATGGGGAAATTGCAAGAGCTAATCAAAAGAAAACAAAACGCGAGAGAGGCAAGAAAAGGTTTGGAAAGTAAAGTCAACATTCATTTCCGATTCAGGTGTATTTTCCTCTCTCCCGCCCCCACCCCCATCACAGTGCAAAAAACTGAGAAAAAAGGTAACCAATTAAAACCAGTACGGGTAGTTCCAGAACTCATGAATCAAGATGCAGCTGTGCAAGTGAGAATGTTTGTGAGGTCGACGTCACTACCTGTCATTTTGTGTGGAAAGTACATGTATATGTACCAGTATGTGATTGTAAAACATGACCCTTTTCCCTTTGGAATGTTGTTCACAATGGTAATTAATGTTCATTGACATGTAATCACTTACAGGTATTGTTGTCAAAAAACATGGTTACAATTTCATAAATTCTGGTAAGATCTTAAATGTTAAAGTCGTATTTATTATAGCAGTCAAGCTGAAATTTTGTTAATTTAATCTTGTCTGTTCTCCTGAAAGTTGTTATGGGTCAGAGTGAAACTAAATGTACTAGTACTTAAGGATTGGCCAAATAAGAATATCTAGATACATGTACCATATTTCTATAAGTGGCTGACCTTGACTTGTTGCCCCGTTAAACCTGGCCAGGACAAATCTCACTAAATGTGTAAAGCTGCAAAAATAATTAAATGACCACTGCACTTGGGAGACTTGAAGTGAGCTATGGGTTTCAAGGAGCAAGGTTGAGGGAGAGCCATTTCCATTAACTAGCCAATATTGGTTGATCTACATGTACATGTATGACATGCCTCGCATGTACATGTACATGTATACAGTTAAACCTTTTAGGCTTGAGTAAGCTCTTGACGAACCGGTCAAAATGTCGGTGTACATGTAAAACCTACCCGATCTGGCTGCTCGTACATGTACATTATAGTGTGACTGGCTTCTTGATGACTACCAGTGAATCAAAATGGTGAGCTGAATCTGAATGTTCTACTTGACTGGTGAACATAACTGCTGGCCATTAGTCTGTATTTGAGTGAAGTTACTGAAACAGCAGGTATTCAGTGTATAACTGTGTAAGGGTGGGAATTTACGTTTAATTTGAAAATGTTTACAAAAACTTTCCTATACTGTTTAAACGTTTAGCTGACACTTTACAAAGGCGGCCTCCACATACCTCAATGTTTTCATGCATAATTACATGTATATAGTTCAACAATGCACATGGTCCAACCTATGTGAAAATGTAGATTGATGTTGGGGCATTTAAAACAAGCAGTGTATATTGTTAGAATCCACTTTTTTCTCAAAAAAAGTACATGGATGCTGAAAGGGAAAAAACAGTATTTCACAGGCATCGCTTACAATAAAAATGAACACCAGATTGCATCCATCAAAACATCAAAACTCTAAAAGGGGCGGTTCCATTTAAGCGTTTGGGTAAATCCACAAGTGGATTTGGAACTTTTTCATTTAAATGTTTGATGTATAAACGCCCCACCCTTATACATGTACCTGTTAATGACCAGCTCCTGTGATTTAACCTGACTATGATATTTCAAATTGCTCCAGAATTCCATTGTCACTGGCACGCAGAGCCTCTGGAGAACTTCCTGTAACTCTAAATCTGATATTAATAGCCACTGTGGCTCTGGCTGTGTGGATTTGAAATAACCAGCTGACAGTAACAAGCTTGGAACATGTTCATGTTGGTTGAGTGGGGATGGCGTTGGCACAAGCAGCTGGTCCTGTGTTCGAATCCAGGCAAGGGAACCTGTACACTTTCTTCTTCATTCTTTTGGACATCTTAGACTCGGCATTGCTTATTGATTTATTAAGGGGCAAAATCCAATTTATCATTGGAGACAGAAAATTAAACAGCTAAATAGTGTTTGTATCTTAGTAATCAGCATGAGCACCTACACTGGAGCTTCATTGTGATGGAGTCTTGATGAGACACATGATGCACTTAAAAATTAGAGAAGATACTTACACATGATGATGATGAATGCCTGTGTG